TTGGAAGCTCGGACGATGCTTGCTGTGTTCGATTGGCCAAAACCTGCCATACCATCTTGATTGGTCTACCATGGGTATTCAGAGCGAGCTGATTTGGCGCTAACCTTGCCAATCATCTCATGCTCATTCTGCAGCTCATAGAGGCGTTCCTGAAGCTCTTTCGTCGGCACTTGAGCGAGAGACTTGTAATAGTCACTGAAATCAAGTTGCTATACATGTCCAGAATTTCGGTCTACCCTTCCAGTTCGGCCTGAAAGCTCCATAGCGATGAATCTTTCATATTCACGAGCTTTAATGAGAATGCTGTTCCGAGTAGAGCGAGGTCCACTCTGATCAGTTGGTCACTCTAGCAAATTCGTTTGATGCACACTGTTCACCTGCCTAGTAGTTCTTCCACTACCCGCAGCATGAGCCGTAATACATTGCGATAGATGGCTGACTCTGAAAGACGGCGATTTCCCGAATACTCCACTCAACAACAGGTTCTCCCGCTTCCAGCTCTCACTCAAGGCTACGAGCTCACAATTCCAACCGATGAAACTGTGCGTCTACTCAACTATGGATATGCACTGCGCTCAGTGAACACACCTATGCGAATTGATAAGAACACCGAACGGCGATCGAAACTTGGAGTTGTATGCCGTTTAAGTCCATCATCAAATCCGCTTCAGTGAACTCTGAGCGCGATACCCCTACCGATGATGTCAGGGATCCAGAAGACGTTAATGCTCGCATCTGAGAGCAGCTCCTTGACAAGGCGATCAATAACCTCCTCGTTGAGCTTGATATGCGAAGGGGCCTTCTGGCAGTAGACTTCTGCAATTTCCAATGGAACTGCAAGCAGGATTCACTCCTACGTGTCGAAGTTACTAACGATAGTCGGTCCATAAACGGATAATGACACTTGCTGACTCACTCAGTTTCCATTCCAAACGGTGTCCCATGACCGACACGTGCAACGAGTTGGAGAGGTCCTCGAGAATCCTGTCAAGGATCGCGAGAGGAACTACACCAGCTAGAGACTATATGATGGGCTACCGAAATATAAGAATGACAGTGTTGAGATAAAGACTCCGCTCAACTGCATCTGGTATGAGCGGGTTGTTCACGAACTCATCACGGAGCATCGAATCAACTGAACGGCCACGAGTGATCGAGTATTAATCTGGCGTACATACTTACCTATAACGCTGAGCTGCTCTCTTCCATGTATCGAGGTGCCACTTAACTTCAAGTTGATGAATACATCCGATTCTTGAACTGAGCGCACCTGACAGGTTTGTATCCTAGCAGTGTGGTAAAGACAACGTACCTTAATTGCATGGCCCCACAGCTGCATATTGTCCAGACTTCCCATGGCGTTCTCGAAAGCGAAAGTGACAATGCTGAGGATGTCCAGATAAAGCTTCTTCTCAAACTCGTGCGGAACTAGAGGATGCTTCTACAACAAGCAGAGCATCGATGAGTGTAGAGACTGGGCTCTTGTCATCGACCTACCGTCAGCTGGCCGCTGGCTAACAGAGCGTCCACATACTCTGAAAGTCGCTCCTGCCGTTGTTGGGATATATGCCGGATGAACTGTATCAACTTCCTCGGGTCGGATTGGCTCCAAGCCTGGCACACAAAGCTGGGAGATCCAGGCAATGATCACGTTGGAAAACTCGACTGCTGACGAGTTGCAACTCACAGTGCTGGAGCCGGTGCCCGGACTTGATCTTGACGATAGCGTAGTAAGAATCCTATCCTGTATCTGGGAAATGCCATGACACTCGAGGCCGTGTCGACTGACGAGTCGATTTACCTCTCTGTCGCGCTTTGCCTGAGGCCCAAGAATGGCAATGGGGACCTCCATCAAGGTGAGCGACTTGTTGAGGACCTCGATAGAGGACTCGAGGGAACCTGCCCACGCGTAAGCAATGTTATCACGATCACATCAAGTTCGAATTGAATCTCTCACTCTCTGATGTGCTCCTTAGAAACACAGCAGCTGTTTCCAGCAATTCCCGACTGGCCTTCACTTGTTCCCGTATAAGCTCTATGCGTTTCTCACCTGAAAGCCGATTAAGCTCAAACGGTTATGCTAGAGGGCTCACCTAGTTGCTCCAATGCTCGCGGTGAAGAAAGGTACTCTTCAAACCTCTAAGAGCAGCGAAGACCCCAGACCCGATATTCAAAGGGAACATACCTTCTGTATAGAGTCCGTAGCATCATGAACAGCTGCATTAGCCTCTTGACCCGCTGCTTGTGCCAATATCTGAAATGCAACAGTGTGATGTGCTCAATCGAGCTTGTTCCACACCAAACAATACCTTGCCGACGAGAAGAGTCTCATTCATCACAGAGCCAACACCCTCCAAAGTTGAAGATATGAGCTTCTCAACTCGCTGGGCTTCCGATGGTGGTCTCTTAGAATGGCTGAAGTCAACAAGACAGGATTCGAGCTCTCGAGTCCAGAGGCAGCAGTAGCTGAGGCCGTTCCTGATGATCAATAGAGCTCACTTGTCGCCACGCCCGTGCGTGCTGCTCATCCGTCGATTACCGAAGGATAGAAAACGTGTGAAGGGACGGCGTATCAACATTTATCTCAACGCTGCCACAGCTGAAATGCACGGATCAAAATGAGGGTGGTTTATTTATTCCCTGTGAATATTTCCCCTTCGTTCGCTCCTTTTTCCAGCAAAACTCAGCCGATTCGACACCAAAAGCGTGATCAAGCGCTATATCCCCACATCATAAACATCATATATAATCTCGTGAATTCCAAACTCTCATCTACTGAATCCTAGACGAGTATTGGCCCGGCAAAGCTGACTGCATGATGGCAGTACCCCCTTCTCTGTAGCCCCAGGCAAGACTGGTTAACAACTCAACTCGATCTATCGAGAACAGCATAACTCCAGATTGATCACTTCGAAAGCGTTAGAAGGCGGAAGTCACGGGCATCCAGCGGCAATGCACTGGTAAGATCAACAGGCACATCAGTTTCAAAATCAATTCTATCCAAACAAGAAATATCCCAACCGAGCAGTCTGGCCTCGTTCATCAGCTCCGACACTATATGAGAACGCTCGCGGAATGATAGTAGGATACCTAAAACAGACCATACAACAATGGAAGACATTCTGTCCAATCCCTTACTGGTGTTATCATCCCTCAGGGACGATAATGCTCCAAGCAATGGCTCAATGGGAGACTCTGGTCCAGGGTACACGATGTCGCTACCTGAATTTCAAAGACACCAGATAATCCCAAGTGATCGTTTTTAGTGACACATTCTGGTTCAGATTGTGAGAAATTCTGAAAACCCAAAATAGGACAGATTCAGTCTACTGAAAGATCCGTTGCTTACCCAGTATAACTCCAGGGGTTCCAGTGTCTCTAATGAGAGCGTCTAATTCTTCTCTATTCGACCAGTCCAGCGTGATGAACTCCACACTACCGTCTCCAAGCATGTTGCTGAGGCCGTTCACCACGGCATTCTCCCGTGCCAGAGCCACAGTCTGCACCAAAAGTAGTTTAGACCAGTCGGGATTAACACGCCTACCTCCTCGTTACAGTCGATGCCTATGATGCGCGGCTGTAACTCACTGACATAACCTCGTTGCATGCACCACTTCGCTGCAGTCAGTGTGAGGAGACCAGTACCGCATCCCAAATCTAGAATGGGCCGCCCCTAAAAGCTATTATTCGGACCATCTACTTCTCAATGGCCTCATCATGACAAGATGTACAATTTGATACACGTATATGAACATATTAGTATTGCAATACGATATGGCAGAGCTATCCCGTGCACGATTGTTCATTGGAGAGGCCACGAGGTGAATTATATCCCGGATAACCCAGCGACCCTATATAGAGTTTCTGCCCTAAGCATTGCATCTGCTTCAGTGTTAACCTCGAGTTGTAATCGCCATGGCTAGAGGCCTTTAGTAGGCTACTGCTAGCGATTCGGCCTAATGTATGGTCATCATCAGCAGGGAATATCAAATAGATGAGGTGTGTACCCACGCCGAAATGTTTGACAACACAGTTGAGAGGGGACTGCTGTGGAACGCAGTCGGAATGCCTAGTTGTGCATTTCGTAGAGCGTGTGAAGACTCACTCAGAAGTTCGCTCACCTTCGTATGGTTGAGATAGTTGGTTCGCCACACATAGCGTGAGAGTATGATTGACGCATCCCAGAGCCCTCGGCCGGTATGATCCCCACGCGGCCCAGCAAAGGAACTCCACGTCAAAGACTGCCTGAAATTCAGACTCGATCAAGAGGCGTCATATGTCGTCGTAGATAAAATCCTCGACAATACCGACTACCCTTACAGTCACTCAATCCATCGATCGCCCGACGGAGTACTTCAGCCTGAGGCTAGGGCCGTTTGGAATATCAATCTTTCTAACGGGGAGGAGCTGCTCAGGAGGGCGTCGCTCGTCGTTCGACACGAAGTACTCGATAGGCAAAACATCGAGCTCAGGAACCCATGCTGAAGTGAAGGCAACCTCAAGCGATTGATGAGTCGAAGTCTTACACAATTCACGACAATTCCGCAGAGATGGATTGACCGCCTCGCGGACCAAGTCGTCTCGAACATGGATCTGAGAAGGAGAAGAAATTAACCTCATCCACTCCTATGCGGTAAGACTGTTCACGTTGAGCACTCACCACTTACTGCAGCCCGTTTCAATTTCGACGCCATCGTTGCAAGAGATGAACTTGACCTAGCAATGTTGCTGATGGATAACATGGAGTACGTGAGATGAAAGTACTGACTTCCCACAGAGAAGCTCATCAGAACGCACTGGTCTATCCGAACAACACGAACAAATACACTTCCCAGAAAGCCGCTTGTAACGGGACAAGGCAGCACAGCTACGACACAACGAGGGCGTGATGCAACGCGTAGTGGGC